AATTGTAGGGAAAATAATCACTGTTACTTTATCTGGGGAATATTCATCCCTCCCGCTGTCAATCCGGTCCTTCCTCCTAGTCCATCGCCATCTCAATGGATTGCTTTTTCTGGGTATTTCCTCTAAGGGGGTTCATCTGACATGGGATCCTTAATGTCTGACTTCTTTTACTTAACGCACTCCAGGTCCATCTTGGTCATGGCATGTGTCAGTACTGCATAACTTACATGGTGTATAATATTCCACTGTCTGATTGACTACATTTTGCTTCATTCATAATCAGCCTGTGACCTTAACTGTGGCCTTCAGTGGCACTTAAAGGTCTAAGCACTGAGAGACAATTGGGTCAGGAGGGCTCTGTCTTCATCTACACTAGTCCATGCATGGGTTTATAATTGGTGGCATTGTTGGGAGTTGATGGGAAGTGGGACCTTGCTGGAGGGAGTGGGTCCCTGGGACCATGCCTCTGGAGGTTATCCTCACCCTTTCTGACTCTGGTTCCTGGTGCCATGAGGTGAGCAACCCCTACCACATGCTCTCACCCCCATGATACCCTGACTCACCTCAGGCCCAGAGCGAGGAGACCCAGCTGACCTTGAACTGGAGCTGTGACTGAAAATAAGCCTCCCTCCTTCTGAGCTGTTTCTCTCAGGTACTTTTTTCACAGTGAGGAAATGCCGACTACAGCCCTCAGTAACAAGGGGTCCAGTTGGCTCCCCAGGCACAAGACAGAGGGGACCCTACCCAGGGTGAAGGTCCACACAGACCTCCTCTGCTCCTTCGCTCTCTTCCTACTTCAGGTCCTTGACAGACTTGCAGCCATGGCAGAGAAGGCCACCACTGGCTGGGAGGAAGCCAGGTTCCTACTGCCATCCTTTCCCCTAGAAAACCCAGGAATATGGAGCGACCACAGAAGAACGGAGGACTCCCTGTGGGTCCTGAGGCCCCTCATCACACAGAGGTCTGAGCCTGGGTGGAGCGCTTTCCTTGGCTGAGACCCTGAGGGGCTGTGTTGTTTGGGTTGGTGGCCATGAGTTGTCTGAAACCTAAACAGTTGGAGGAGCCCCTGAAGAAAGACCCACTGGGATAGGCAGCCAGAGAGCGGTGGCCATATCCCACATGCTTTGCCACTGTTCTATCGGGGGCTGTCCCCCAGACATGCCTTTTTTCTTAGGGGGGATTTGGAAGCACGATTTTGTACCTGGCCACAAGAGAGCTAAAACCCACACAACTAGGGGGAAAGCCAGTGCAGGGCACCTCTCTTGACGGGCTATGTCCATCTCCGCTTCCCTCCCCTATGAACGGCCTCGTGCCATTGAAAGAACTATTGAAAAGCACACAACATTGGAAAGAAAGAACATTGAAAGCACAGACACATTTGGGGGGCTTACCAGGGGGCACACAATTAATAGGGCCAGCATGGAATTCCTACAGTGCCTCTCACCATTCTGCCTTCGGCATATGAATCTCAGCATCATGGCTGGAACTCAATTCCCTGCCACAGGGGCTGAGGCATGGTGTCATGGGCTCCTTAGCTTCTCCCACACTGCTCCAGCCATGAGGAGTCAAACTGTCCCTCATCTCCCTTGGCCATGAGGTGTGTTCCCTGCACTCCTTGCGCTAGCTGACACTTCTATCTAGGATGCTCCTCCCTCATGTTTATTCTTCAGTTGACTTCCCATTCATTGTTGGGTCCCACCCTAATGTCACATCCCCTGGGAAACACTCTTCACATCCAAACAGGTCATCTCCTTTGGATTCTGTTCAGGCTCTAGCCTCTGAGACCTAGCCTGTTGCTTCCAGGTCCCCAGAGCTCAGCCAGAGGGCACATTTCACAAAACTGAGTATTCCAATGTCGAGTCAAGCATCTCCAGCAAGGAGAGGTGGAATGTTTGGTACCACTCATAAAGACTAACCGTGACAGATTTGAGATTTCTGAGGAGAGTGAAGACGCATCTTAGTTGTTGGGTTATTAGTAACAATTCATGTACCTGCTGTCAGAATCAGCTACGTTGAAAAAATATGGGGACCAGGGCCAGTGCTCTGAGCACATGGGCTGAAGGTCCAAATACTGAAACACAGAGGGAACGGCACCTCAGTTCTGCTACAATCCAGGCTCACTTAAACATTGCCGATGCTTCCACTGAAATAATAGGTGTAGAAAAAAATCCAACCAACAACCTAATATCTGATGCATAAGTCCCAACATTGAAACACAAGAAACATGAAAAACCAAGGCAAAGTGACTGTTTGAAAATCAGTACAGGAAGGGCCCACAAAGAGAACAGAGTAGATGAAATTCCAAATGAAGAGTTCAAAAGCATGATTGTAAGAATGTTCAAAAGAATCAAAGAGGCTACAAAGAAATTACTGGATGAGCTAAAAGAGGACACAAGCAAAGAGCAAATGGAATAAGTCAGCGCATGATATGAAAGGGGATCAATACAAAGAAATACTGGAGAAAGGATAGCGCGTAAGGTGACTTAGCAGGTAAATATGCTTGCCACCCAATGATGCAGATCCGACAGCCTGTGCTCAGTCCCCAGAACACACATGTGTACCATGACATGGACATCCACCATCCACATAGTCACATCATACACATCATCATCACCACTATTAATTTAAAAAGAAATACTGAAAAGGTCAAGTTCAACTATTGGAACTGAATAGTTCAATATCTCAAATAAAAACTTAGTGGAACTCCTCAGAACAGAATGAATCAAGTTAAGACAGAGAGTATCAGGTCTTGAAGTCCAAGTACATGAATTCAAATATTCAGACAGTGGTAAAAATAATAAAAAAAAGTGTGAACAGGATACGTGATATCAATTCAGTGCCACCAAAGGACCAGATCTGAGAGTCATGGACATAAAGGAGACTTTCAAGTTAAATGAATGGAAAATACATTTAATAAGAACAACAGAAAATTTCCCAAATCTAGTGGGCTATCCAGATACATTTAGCCAGACAGACAAGACATCCCCATATCCTATTACAGTTAAAACACTGAGTATACAGAGCAAAGAGTGCATGTTGAGAGCTGAAATAGAGAAGCACCAAGTCACATCTAGAACAGGTCTATGGTAATAATAGCAGATTTATCAACAGAGAATCTAAAAGCTAAGAGGCTATGGACAGTAGTTTAATCCCTGAAAGAAAATTAACTGAGAACACAGATGACTATACCCAGCAAAGCTATCATATTATCCTTCTATGTAAAACAAAAGTAAAGACATTCATGACCACTTAGCTAGCATGACACACAAATGAGAAAGATAAACACATCCATGAGAACACAAGAAAGAATAAACTACACTAGACAGATACATAAACAGTTTAGGATTGGGAAAGCACCAAATATTACAAAAATAACAAAGTAACAGAATTGAATGCCTACATTTCAGTAAAAATCCTGAATGTTAACAGTTTCAATTCCTCAATTGAAAGACATAGAGTAACCGATTAGATTTTAAAACAACAACAACAACAACAAAAGAACAAAAACGGGACCCACTTATGTGTTGTCTAGAAAAAAACACCCCTCACTGACAAAGACAGCCTTTTGGTGAAAGGATAATAAAAGATATTCCAAGTCAATAGAACTGGAAAGCATGCAAGTTAGCAATTCTAACACCTAGCTAAATAGACTTCAAATTATAAAAAGTCATAAAAGATAAAGAAAGTCAGTATATTTGGTTAAAGGGTGATCCATTAGATGGATACTGCAAATATGAACAAATAGGCACCGAACATTGGTGCGCCCAGTTTCATGAAACAAACCATACTGGATGTAAAGGCGCTGGTTGATCTTAACACAGTAACAGTGGATGACTAATTTGCTGCATTTTGGGACACAAAGCAACTCTTAACAAATTAAAAAAAAACCCTGAAATAAACCTATACTATCTGATAACAATATAATAAAACTATAAATCAGTAGCAAAAGAAACTGCACAAAAATGGAGATTGGACAACACAGTACTGAACAATGAATGGATCATCAAAGAACTTGGAGGGTGAATTTTTAAATTTCTAGAATCAAGTGAAAATGAAAATACAACAGATCAGAGCCTGTGGGATATAATGAAAGTAGCTCTAAGAGCTACATATATACACACATACCTGTGTGCACACATGCACACACGCTGTTCTATTTTATTTCATTCTCAATTCTATCCTTTTTATTCTCCCCTACTTATTTATTTATTTATTTATTTGTTTGTTTGTTTGTTTGTTTTATAATGCTAGTCATGATTAGATCTTTGCTATACTCCTGGAACTTTCATTTCAAAGGAAACCGCCAAGAATGCCCTGGGCATTTGAAGCAGAGCTTATGATCCTGTGGATCTGACTGACTACTGTGTAGCAAGTTCCTTGCTCTCTCTGGGCTGCCAAAGGAAGCCTTCATCAAGGATAACTTACAGGGTTGTTATCCAGATACTTGACAAGTGCTCAGCCCAGTTGATATTGACAGGGCTTCCTTGTGGCCATGTGAAGTTCAAGCTGCCTACAGCAGGGAGGGATCCAGACATACTTACTTTTCAGATCATGCACACTGTGGATCTGCTTGCAAACCTCCATGGCCTCCTTCTCTCCGGGTCCCAAAGAGGTCACCAGTCCAATGGACAGCCCATGGGCCCTGAAAGCTGTGGTCAGCTGCTGAGCTGTGGCTACCCAGATGTCCTGGTGAGAGGACACGATGGCCACGCGAGCCCAGCCAAAGTGCCTCATGACAGACAGTAGCACATGGGCAGCAGAAGGCAACGTGGGCACCAACTCACCTCCTCCCTCTGGAGCCTCACAGGCCCAGGAGAAGAGGGACTTGCCCCAGCCTTGGGCCAGCAGGGCTGCTGCTGGGCAGTATCCAGGATTGACAGGACCCACAAAAGCAGCCACTGTGTTCCTGTGGGCCACGAATGTGGCCAGGGCATGAGGGGTATCACAGCCTGTGGGGAGGACCTTGAAATCCAGCTGTGAGCCCAGCAGCAGTGAGGCATCCTGGTTGACTCCATCTACAGCTAACTGAGTAGCCATGCTGGGGAGTGCCTGGGCAAAGATGGGGTCACAGTCCCAGGGACCCAGCACCCCAAGGGTGAAGGTCTCTCTTGCCCATGCTGGCAGAGAAAGGGAGTCAGCCCACAGAAGGACACCCCAAAATACCACAGAGAGAGCGGATATGGAAGAGGCTGTCCTCAGATGACTGACGTTGAGGCCCCATGGGCTCTGGCAGGGCAGGCAGGTCTTCCTGGGTGGTGCTGTCCAGTCCTGGCATTCAAGGTGCAGGGCTTGCTGCAGTCCTGGGGAGGAGTTTGGATAAGCCTTCCTGTCTAGCCTTTCTGCCATTTCTCATATTGGTACATAAGATACTTGGAGCCATGATCTGAAGGACTCCCTAGGACTGGCCCAGAGCTGTGATGTCCAAGCTGAGTCCCAGGCTGGAGCTCAAACAGGACATTGCCTACAGAAATAGCATTGAGACCCAACTCCTTGCCTCCCCCTGCAGACTAGCCTCCGAGGCTGTCTGAGCCTCATCTTCCTCCTCTGAAAATATGAACTGCAAAACTGCTCAGAAGTCTTACTGTGGTGACAAAATGGCACCATGGACAGCATTTGGCATAATGCCAGTGCTCAGGGACTCCGTGTCCTACTCTTCTACCCTGGGATGGCTGTTTCTTCTTTCACTCGTCTTTAGGAGGATCAAGCTCTCCCCACCCTGCCACTGTTCTCTACAAGCCTAGCTCCACCCAAAGGTCCTGGCTGCTGGGTCCAAGGCCCCGGGAGCAAAGCACATGGGCCAAGTGCTGTAGTTCACGTGCTGGATGTGTCCAAGAGAACTGGGGCTACAGTGTTCCCGCTAGACATGTGTGTTCCATTCCCGGCATTTTTCACAGACCTGCCTGGACCAAATGGCTTCTCTACCCTACTGCATAGAGGAAGAAACTGGAGGAACTAGCATGGAGTTAGTGGAAATATGGGGTGTAACCCAAGTCCATTCAGCTCCTCTTCCACCTCAAACATGGCTTTCTCAAACAGAATGTTTGCACTTCCCTCCAAGTACACTTGTCTTATCCTAGAAAGCATCAGTAAGATTTCTCGACATAAAGCCCTGTTGGCCAGACTCAGTGTCTCAAGAATTCTGTAGCCAGTGGCCTGCAGGAACTCACAGAGAGCTGCAGAGCCTAATAGGTCAGCTTCAGAATAAGGGAAGGGCTGGCTTTCACCCGAGCTCTGTGTCTGATTCACATTCCTTGCCATTCCCCTCTATCTGCTGTTAGAGGCTCTGGGTACCACCCTGAAACCCTTCTTGGCTTCTGCTGAAACCTGATATAGCCTCTCCTCCATCCACAGGGCCCAGCTATCTTCCTGTCCACACCATTTACATAGTCACATTGAGAACCCCAGGAAGGAGTAAGATCTGTTCTGGCCCCCAGGAAACAGCCACGTGAGTAGGGAGGCAGATCTCAGCCAAGGGAAGAGTTAGCTATGAGTTTGGACCATAGACAGAGGATGAGTGTGGATGAGCAGGGGGCAGTGAGGGCTTCCTAGAGCAGACAGAGCTCACTTTAACCCTACCCTTGGAGACGTAGCTCAAGAGAAGGGAAGATTTTCTTTGAATGACATCAAAAAGGGTCTGGATAGGGCAGCTCTTTAGAAATCATGTTTGATGCTGAGAGTGAAGAGCCTTGGAACCATGTAGAAGACTCACTTACTAGCTCCTAACCTTGGGCTAGACACTGGGGTTCTTTGAGCCTCAGTTTCCCAGCCTGCAAAATGAAGGTGCAAAGCGTTACCTGGTGGACTGTGGAAACTAGACTGTGTCCTGTGTATGGTGGGGATGAGCGCTCTGTACTTGCTAATGGAGCCACCTCTCCTCTTCCTCATTACCACCCCACCATCTTCAGATCTTTGCAGGGAGGCAGAAGATGCAAAGAGAGCTGAGCTCGAAGGAGGTAGGAGGCTGAGTCTCAGGCTCCTGTAAGGCCTCAGCCACTCCATCTGTGGAGTTTCCAGGGTGTAGGGGCAACACTCTGCCCTGCCCATTGAAGCCTACAATGACTCTGCTCCTCCAGCTCAGGGCTGGAGGATGAAAGCTGTTCTCCTGTTTGCCTTGAGCCCTGTGGGCCCAGCTGCCTCCTGTTGTGATGCTCAAAGTGACCTCTTAGCATCCAGCTGAGGTCCACTCACCCTTGGGGCTATGGGATAAGCTCTGGCCATATAATGTCTTTGCCTGTCTTTAGATGAGAACCAAAACATGTGCCTTCATTGGTCAAAGTGGCAGTCACTTCCCTCACAGTCTGTTTCCCAAATCGTCCCTGACTCAGAGTTTGCTGGGACCTCCAAGGAGACTCTTAACTCTCATTTTTAGAGGAGGACATTTATTCTAGATAGATAGTGACTTGTCCAAGGTCTCACAAAAGGTGGGACCAAATCAGAACCAGAACTCAGCTTTCAACTTCGCAGTCAAAGAATCAATACCAACCAAATCCTCATGCTCGAATTTGCTCTCAATCTCTCTCTCTCTCTCTCTCTCTCTCTCTCTCTCTCTCTCTCTCTCTCCCTATCCCTATCCCTCTCCATCTATCTAACCTATCTAGCTATTCATCTATCATCTATCTATCTACCTCATATGGAGCATCAGCACCTTAAGGATGTAGATACCTAACTCGACCCCTCTATGTCCAGATAAGGACACTGAAGCTCAGAAAAGAGGCTGCACATTGGTCCTGAAAAACACTGGTAGGACCCCTGACCTGAGATCCTGCTGGTCATACTCAGTGCCTCCAGAATCCTGCAGTCAACGGCCTGAAAAGACACACAGGGCTCACGACATTAGCAGCACAGTTGTAGGACATGGCAGGGCAGCTTTTCACTACAGCTCTGGCCCTGACTTGCAGCACACAGTCCAGACCTTTCTGCACCCTGGTTTCCTCAACTGTGCAAAGGCAGCTCAGTGTGCATCTTAAGTCTCTAAACGTCTATCAGCAATGATGTTCCATGCGCTAGTAGAACACCTAGAGACGGGGATCTCTGTCTCTGAACTTAGCCGTGTTCTCCTCCAAATATTCCCCCCATGGGTGTAAGCTCCCTTGGTCCCTCTGCAGTGGCCACAATAGTTGCAAGGGCTACCTGAAGTGGGGATGGGATTTGCATTTTTTAGAACTGGAGATGGCCTTAGGGTTAACCACTGCTTGGTTTATGAGGCCGAGCACACAGAGTTAAAGGCTCCCATCAGAGCCCTGGAACTCAGATATGGAGAAGCCTTTGTCTACATAAAGATACCAAACCAGAAAGAGTGACAGCAGCCTACAGGACATGGACGGAGAATTCCTATCAGCCCAGGGTCACC